TGGAGCCCAGCAGGTCGAGGCTGCGGTGGCTGGGAGCGGCCACTGCCCTCCAGTCTGGGCGACAGAGTGAGACTCCAACTCAAAAAAAAAAAAAAAAAAAAAGAGAATAAATGAAGGAACCCCAGGATAAAGGGAATTCTGTCTTCAGACTGCCTTCAGACTCACACTGCAGTATCACTATCAATTCTTCCCTAGGTTCTAGGTTTTCAGCTCATTGGTTTATTCTATGGATTTTGAACTTGCCAGCCCCACAATCACATGAGCCAATTACTTAAACTCAATCAATCCATCTATCAAACTGTCTCTCTCCCCCTCTCCATTTTATTAGTTCTTTTCTCTGGAGAAGATTGACAAATATAGGACTAATATAATTAAACACACACACACATAAATATATATAGATATATGTTCATGTATTAGATCATGTGTAAATTTACTAAAGAAACCCAAAACTGTGGTACTGTGTTTAAAGACAGAGTAGCTAGATATACTGCTTTATATAGGATGAATTGAGAGAACTCTTTTCTTTGGTGCCACACCCAACCACTTTACCAATCTCAACACAGATTGGACCAGCATTCATCCTCTCTAGTAAAACTCTAGGAGGAAAGCAGAGATTAAGTTATACACCAAGACTGAAATCTTTGCTTGAGTGCATAAATATAACTCTGGTCAATGAGAACATTTTCTTTAAACCATGAACGAGTATAGAACTTCACTCTTTGGGCATGTCTTTGGTTTTCACTGTGCTGTGATTCTTCTGTACAGGACCAGGAATGACAACTGAAGCCTCCCCTGCAGCTCTTTTCATGCTGTGTATATCCTGCTGTCTGTCAATCTGGTGCTTTTCAGAAACACTCAATCATATGTGTTCAGCACCTTCTCCCTTGTCCGACATCCCAACATTCCTAATCCCACACACAAACACGTACGTGCACTCCTTACACGGTGTTCAAGGACTAGGTTTTTCGACACTACCTTCTGCATGGCTCATTCCAGTGGTCTTATGAAGCTCTCTGGTTGTAACCCATGTCACTAAAAAAGCTGGAGGGTATGTGCAGGTGATTGCAGTTAGGATGAGAGGCTCTATAAAGAAATACAGAAAATTAAAGCAGCTGCCTGGCACCAACTGTATAGAAAGACAGCTGCTTGCTTTACACGGAGGTAGAGTAAAACGCATTTCTAGGCAGCAGTTGTTACTAATGCAATAACCACCCAGGCTAATCTCCCACCATCTTCACAATTATTTGAAGAACAAAAGAAAAATGACAGAGTTTCTCCCTGAATCAAGGACACACATAATGAGTTTCCTTCTTTTGATGGTTCATTCCATGAGATAGGAGACATGTTCATCTCAAAATGAAATGAGCATACACTTGATTAATCGCAGCTAGTTGCACTTGAAAAAGAAGAGGTGGATCATCACACTTAGTTTTTGAAAAAAATAATTGTGGTCATTATTTCAGGAGTGAGGTCATCTCACATTGCCTTTCTTACTGTTAGGCTTTAAAACCAGCACAAGCCGTTAGCTCCTTCATACTATAATCAGGACCTTGGAGGGGGTTGTCACCTTTCCATGATTTTAAAAACACATTTAAGACAGTGTGTCCTTTGCAAACGAAATGCATATAAAAATCCTGCTTCTCCCGCAGCACCAATATAATCATTCTAAGTTAAATTCACATTCCTCTTCTTAGGAAGAAGTAACAAAGAGGGAATTATTAAACCATGATCAAAGGCCGCTCTCATGCGATCCCCACATTGTCGGTTTTGTGAAACTCAAGTTATTATCACCTCTGCAGGCTGAGAGGATAGTAGAAGTGGGCACAGGGAGAGGGATGAAGGTCTGTGGAGGTGAGCACTCAGAAACCCACATCTTAGCCCCAGGAATCCTTAGAGCGTAAATGTCACTAGGTAAAAGCAACCTTTCACTATTCCCTAGACTAAACTGTGAAACATTTGTGAAAAGCATAAAATCCTTATTTATGGTAGGAATGTTTGAAATTCGAAAGATAAATGCCATTCGGAATGCAAGCATGTTCTAGGTATCTAATATGTAATGGGACACAGCTGTACTAACAGCCACTGAACCAGGGGCGTCTCTATATCATGTCATTAGTTGACTTGTTAGAAGCCGATCTTCCAGCCCTTTTTATAAGGGCCACTAGGGTAAAAAATAAATATATCATGTACTGAACATCTGTGGTTCTGTCACAGAGCACCACTCATATCAACTTTCTAGCTATATCTCAGGCTATACAAGACACCCTTTAAAAAAATGGATCTTAACAGAAAAGTATAGATTAGGGATTCATAGGTTTTTATTTAAAAAATAATAAAATAAAAGCCAAAAGCTACAAGATCTGGGCTGTGCCTTGGAAAACACTAACAGCATCTTTTTACGAATTGTTTTAGTGTAGTCCTGTGAGTTTAAAACCATATGTGCACTTTAGGTAAGATTCTAAAAGTGAGTACATTATATGTAAGATGCTAATGGAGGGAAGAATTGTCAAGTGCTCAAACCATGATTTAGTAAGTTGCCATAATTATGAGTTTGCATTTAAGAACACATGTATTAGTAGCAATTTCTGCTTGAGACATTAAAAAAAGAAAAGAAAAGAAAAAAACCTTATTTGTTCACATGAGAAGTTATTTTAAAAAAATTTTAAATTGGTCAATTAAAAAGTAATGTGGCCGGGCGCAGTGACTCAAGCCTGTAATCCCAATACTTTGGGAAGCCGAGGTGAGGATTGCCTGAGCCCACGGGTTTGAGAACAGTTTAGGCAACTTGTTGAGACCTCATTTCTACAGTAAATCAAAAAATTAGGCGGGCATGGTAGCACACATCTGTAATTCTGGACCCTTGGAAGGCTAAGGTGGAAAGATCTCCTGAGATCAGCTGGTTGATGCTGGGGTGGCCGTGAGCCTGTCACCGCACTCCAGCCTGGGCGATGGAGTGAGACTCCAACCCAAAAAATAAAAATATAGATAAAAATAATGCTAGTCACCTTTGAAAGAATATGTGTCAAGTGAATTAAATATTTGAAATTACATAGGAAATTTTATCTTTTATAAAATACTTCAGAAAAAACCACAAACACTATTAATTTATGTGATGAAATAATTAATGCTAATAAACATGAGCATAGTAATGAGAAGATTTTTTTGGTAGAAATGGCAAGAAGGAAAAAAGAAATGCAGTTAGGAGACATTTTTAATAATCTGGGAAAGATAGGACGCTACTAGATTGGAACAATGGATGTTGTAGGGAGTGGTCAGATTCTGGGCATATTTTGGAGACATAATGGATTAGATATATGGTTTGAGAGAAAGAGATGGCAGAATGATTCTAACAGCTTTGATCTGAATAGTTACAAGAATTGAGCTGGAATGACCTGAAATGGATGGCTTGTATGTTCCTGACCCCATATTAACAACTGCCAGAGGGTAGTGTTGGGAGGAAATCATCTATTTACTCACAATGCTCCAAGTTTACCCTTAGTGGTTGATGAAAGAATCTTAGACGTCACATGGACAAAAATGTCTTGTCTAATTAGTCATAAATTAATGACAAGTGATATTCATTTTTTGATTTACAGGAGTAAACTCCTTTCAAATACATTTCAAAGCAAATGATAATAATAATGAGAGAGCAAGAGAGAGAGAGAGACAGACAAGATTTAAGCACATCGCTAAACTGTAGGAGTCCTGGTGGTTTATGGATGCAAAATTCCAAATGGAGTAAATTATTTACAAAAATTGGAAAACACTGGTGTGTTGAAAAGACCTGGGTTCAAATTAATCTCAGCTGCTTAAGTTAGATAAATGGGACTAGCAGATGCTTGAAGTTTCTTCCTCTATAAGTAAGAGTAGCAATGTCTATGCAATTGCTATGCAAAGCAGTCATGTCAGATTTTATTACTCTGTAAATACCCATGTTTACAAAAATTACCTATTCATGAAAGTTAAAAGATGTTGCTCATTCTCTCTATTAAAAGTAAAAACTATGGAAATGAGTTTCAAAAAAGATAGACATAAGCCATTATTATTTTTTTTAATCAAAGATAATCTATATGCACACTTTTTGGGGAAGTAAGAGTCTGGCTGTCTTTGTGAATAGTATTTAAGGAGATTCCAAAACATATGCACATTTCACATGTAATGCAGGTATTTATACACTATTTGCTATGATTTCTTGAACACTGTATAAAGTTTTTAAAAATTGTTATACATTTTTAGATAACAAACATTTCTCTGCTATCAGTGGCTACTTCTGATTTCAATGAACTGGTAGGCAAAAGACATTGTGTATACACTTGTGCATATCTTTGGATTGTTTAAAGCCTAAACGATAACTTTAAAATGCCTAGTGCAACAAAACAAAATCATGTCCTTTGCAGCAACATGGATGCAGCTGGAGACAATCATTCTAAGTGAATTACCACAGAAACAGAAAATTGAACACCGTGTGTTCTCACTTACAAGTGGGACCTAAGCAGTGAATACACACAGGATAAGGATAGAAACAACAGACATTGAGGACTCCTAAAGGGAGAAGATAGGAAAAAGGGTAAGTGTTGAAAAAGTGGTCATTGGGTACCATGGCCATCACCTGGGTGATGGGTTCAATAGAAGCCCAAACTTCACCATCATGCAATATACTTATGCAACAAACTTACACGTGTACCCCTCAAATTAAAAAAAGAAATGAAACACACACACACACACACACATACACACACACACACACACACACACACACAAACCTCAAAACGAGAATGAGGGGAATTTCTTTAGTCTAATAAAGCTTAACTATAAAATGCCAAAAATAAATAAAGAAATAAAATGCCCACTACATGTTTGTAAATACCTGCTACTCTACACTTGGTTGCTACTTTAAATAATAAATACTCTGATTTTGTGCTCTGACAATAGTTCCTTTAGGCTACGAAAACAATCCAAATATATGCATGAATGTGTACATGATGTCTTATGCTTACCAGTTCATCGAAATCCAAAGTAGCTATGGACAGCAGAGAAGTGTTTGTTATCTAAAAATGTATAACAATTTTTAAAAACTTTTACAGTGTTCAAGAAATAATAGCAAATAGTATATAAATACCTATATTACATGTGAAATGTGCATATGTTTTGGAATCTCCTTAAATACTATTCAAAAAGACAGCTAGACTCTTACTTCCCCAAAAAGTGTACATGTAGATTGCCCCTGATTAAAAAAACAAAAGGTGGCTTATGTCTATATATCTTTTTTGAAACTCATTTCCATAGTTTTTACTTTTAATAGAGAGAATGAGCAACATCTTTTACCTTTCACCAATATTAATTTTTGTAAACATGGGTATTTACAGAGTAGTAAAATCTGACATGATTAAGTTATCAGTGCAAAATTATGGCTGTTTGTCTTCAGAACAGTTATAATTCATGATAACAATGATTATACAGAATATTTCTTAAATTTTAACATCTTTATCTGAAATGAAGACTTATTTGCATGATAATTACTATCAATTATAGTTTAGTGCCTACTAGTTTCGTATACTTCATGTGCTGTCTATACATTTGTATATTTAACTAAATAGAATATTTCATTCCTTACTAATAAAAATAAACTTGATTAGTCAATAGGTAGGTGAATGAACAGATAGATAAATAAGACTATATAGAGAGTTTCATTGGACAGCTTCAAATACTTGATCTTGTCCTATTTTTAGATGTTCACATATTTTGACTGTTTTTTATAAACCAGGCACATTCCACTGAGATACCGTTAAACCACACACACACAACTATCATCTAATCTGTTCATAATACAAAGCATCTCATTTCTTTTCCTTTTCCTTCTTATTGAAGTTCTTTGGGATAGTGCACTGGATTTTATTAGTATCATGTGTAACAGGTAACTTTTCTTCTCTCTCTCTCCTTTAGTAATGAAAAAAAGATGAAATAATTATACATAATTTTGCATTATGTGTAAATTCATCATGAATCTGTTTCATTGGGTGGCTTCATTTAACTGCTAGTGCTTGTTGAAATCTCTTGGCAACTGGCCTCACCTGCCTTTTCTTGGCCAAACCAATCAATTTCATGCTGGGTTCTTAAAACCTTTAAGATCTCCTAGACTGAGAGCTTCTTGAAGATAGCAACCACATCTTAATCATCATTTTATCCACAGTGCATCCACCATTCTAGCTGGCTCATACTAAGCAGTTAGTCAATGCTTAGGAAACAGAAAAACTCAGTTAATCAAGTATGTTATTTATTGCCCAAAAAATCCCAGGAATTATCCAAAATTTTTTTTAATCTGTGAAAGTGTATTTGTTAAATGTTCCAATTGTTCATTAAAGCTATTAACTACCAAGTATCAATCACTTAATGTGTAACCAGCACCATACATATGTTCATTAGTTCTTGTCTTCACGGCATCCCATGTAGACATAATATTTATTTAACAGATGAGATGATTAATATTGAACTTTTCAAGTTCTAATATTTCAGTAAAAACAGAGACTTTAGTCTCTTAGATCTATTAGATGTCATATATTTTCTAAAACTCATTTTAGATTGAAACGCAAACACACAAACATACAAATATACTACAATAAACTTACTAAAGCTTTAAAAAAAGCCAACAACTAACATTCTGGTGATTAAAAGTAAAAAGTGAGCATTTCCTAAGTAACTGTGAAATCTTCCTCTTGTCACCATACGGTTCTTGGTAAGAGTATATGATCTTGACTCTATTTGGAATGATCTTTTGAATTTTTTGTCACTTAGTTTCTTTCTATGTCACTGTCTATTTTTTGTCTTTAACCTTTGTAGATACCCTTTACTTGATTGTCCCTTTATTAGTCTTACCAATTTCACTATTTTATGTGTACCTCTGGGTCTCCTCCTAGCCGTTCTCAGAGCTATAGACCAATTTACCCGACTTCCTATCAGTCATTGCCATTAAACACTCTCCAGGGCACCTCAATGCTGGCACCAAGACGTGTGTGTGTGTCTAGGGGGACCCTTCAAAAAAACCGGAATTATGTCTTGCAGGGTGGGCCCCTTGTACCGGCTTCCCCTAGGTAAGTGTTCTAGGAACCCATCAGCATCTGTGTACCAGCTAGCATTGTTGTGAGAGCCTTGCCTTGGCTTCAGTGATGTCTCTGGATATTCTTTCAGTGCATTTGTCCATTTCATGATGGGTGATTTACCAGTGAACCTCCCCACACAGCACTGAGTGTTCAGCAGTTTTTGACCCAAAACCATGACTACCATTCTCCACCCTCCCTAATCACCCAATCTCACCCCCAGCGACTTTTTTTTCCTTTGGTTTGTTTCCCCAGATAGAAAAAGTCCTCAAAGAGAATCGATTTACTGATGTGGAAGAGGTGAAACCAAAGCACAAAAAGGTATCAAAATTGATGAGTAAAAAACCGTTTTGAACAGAGGAAAAAGCACCTCAATAGGTGTATTACATCAAATGAAGGGTACTTTGAAAGTGACTGAAGCTTAAACATGTAAGAATAAATACACACTTTTTAATAAATAGATTCCAGGGTTTTTTTGGGACACACACAAACACAAACACACACACAGTTGTTGCTGGTTTGTTATAATTAATATTTTCCCTATTGATTGAAAATGAAACAAGCAAAAGGTTATTTCTGGGTGATAAATTGTCAAGATAAATGCTTTTAAATTAGCATAAATTAATAGTAAATACAATCTTCCAAAGCTACATTAGACGTGTGGGGATTTTGTTGTTCGGTTTTGGAAAGAAAGATTTGGGTAAGTAACTTCAAATAAAGCAATTCAGGTTTTAAGTTCTTATCAGCATTCCTTAAATCACGTGAAATTTTTATTTCGAAGAAAAAAAAAATCACACATCCGTGGGCCAGGCAGTCAAGATTTTATTATAATACAATGACCCTCTTTACATATTTCTTATTTCGACCTTACTTGTATTTTGTCCTCTGAGAATCACAGGAAAAAGAATATCCTAACAGTAAAAAGGAAGAACTTTGGAGTTGTGTTGTCAGGGACAAGGTGCTTATTCACTAACAGCCACATAAAAGTGCTGTAAGGATTAAGTAAGATAGTTATGTAAAGGACTTCAGTGCCAGACATATCGAGAGGCCTTAGGCTAGCAAGTTATAATTGTGAAAAGTGGTGGAAAATGTGAACTTCTCATGTTTTTGGTCTTGGCATTCTTTTGCTTGGTGTGAACGCTATAGAATTTCAGGGCCTCTGCAAATAGGTGTGCCCTCCCTCACAGTCATTGTAATTCGAATATTTACTGCAACAGTTTTGTGACAGATGACCATGAAGTCACTTGAGGAAGGAGTGTCTTTTTCTCCATGTGAATGTTGGCACTCCATTGATAGGATTATCAAGCTGGGCTTGATACTACACTGGGCTACATAATAGCAACACAGAGATGGTACTTTTGGAGATACTGAACTATAATTAAGAATTTAATATGAAAGAATTTAGCCAGTGGTAGTAAGATACTTGCTTTTGAGAACAGAGAATCTTTTCTTTCTAAATATTTCCTTTTATTAAATTTGTCAGTTATTCAAATACAATGCAATTAGTTACTAAAGTTTAAGCTAAACCGAGAGGGATAGGGCACATTGAAACATTTTTTTTTCTTCTACTATGTTTTGAAACTAAAACTAAAAATACTCTTCGGGAAAAACAAAATCAAGAAAGATTTCTGTGACATAAATATCTTTTGCTCTTGAAAGAATGTGGTTAAGATAGGAAAAGTTAACAGCAGAAGGCTATTTCTTTCTTAACATCTATGTGCTTTATTTAACACCATATTTCCTCCTGTAGCTGGCTGTTGTTATTCTTCTTGGGAGCACCCTTTAGGAGAATCCAGGATGAAAGGATTAGTCATATCCTTCCAGGCACTGTCTGCTCCATTCATTAGAGATGTACTAAGGATCAGAATGGAAGACTAGACAGGAATTCAGCTTAGATCCCAGAAACTCCCAACAAATTGCCTTGGTTTTCTCATATTCCGTACTGTTATGACTTCAAGCTCATGTAAAGGTTTTGAATTACTGTCAGGACAATCTATGGTTTTCTTTTGTTCAGCTTATTGCTCATTCCGCAGATTCCTAGTCTGCCTCCACACCAGGGCGTGATGGCTGAAAGGCATCATTAATGTGTTAAATGATGTGGAAGGCTTGGCCACACCACAGCACATCCCTGCAGAGTGACATTCCCAGATACACAGGTATCTGCCTCGATTTCAGAAGAGAAAGGAAGAAGCTAAATTGCCCCACAAGTACAAAGCACTGTGACAATTATAATGTATATAATCCACTTGTGATGTCTGTGCCAGATTCAGACCTCATTTGTTGGTTGAGTGAGATAAAAGGTTAAGACTTCGATTCCTGAGATTCATGAGTCATGCAATGACACAAGAACAGCAGGAAGCATCACAGTGCATTACTGAAGTCAGACGAGCTCCACTATTGTCATAGATGATTTTTATTATGTCTTCACATTCTGATTTACTACACTGATGCTAAAAATTGCCTTCCTCCATGCTCTGAGAGAATTCATGTAGATTCTTGTGGTGGTCTAATTTACTTCCCCGTAGTATAATCACATGGCAACATACAGTTCTGGGACTATGCCATATATGTGGCCGTAGTTCAATAGTAGATCTAGCAAAGCACCTTTTTTCACCTTTATTTTAAATACTGTTTCTTGAGAAATGCCAAAGCTTGACTGGTTATCTTTGACAAGAGGTGTTTCTTTGTCATATCTACACACACTACTTCTAAGTCCCAAGAGAACAGCAAGGTGGCTAGAGGAAATATATTTCTATTTTTTTTTTTTTTTGAGTTAGAGTCTCACTCCATTGCCCAGAATGGAGTGCAGTGGCTGTTCCCGGCCACCACAGCCTCAACCCGCTGGGCTCTGGCGATCCTTCCGCCTCAGCCTTCCGAGTAGCCAGAATTACAGGCGTGCACTACCACGCCCGGCTGATTTTTGATTTATTATAGAGATGAGGTCTGGCCAAGTTGCCCAGGTGGGTCTCGAACCCGCGGGCTCAGGCAATCCACTCACCTCAGCCTCCCAAAGGCGTGGGATTACAGGCTGAGCCACCGAGCCCGGCTGGAAATATATTTCAAATAAGGAATGCAAAAATTTTAGAAATACTTGCCTCATCAAATACAAAAAATTAGAGTGGATTCTAAACTTAGTTAAAGGGTCCATTTTTAAAAGTATGGATTGTTTAAAATTTATTAACAATATCCATATCTTTTTCTACACATCTTTTTCATTTCTTCTGGATGTCATGGCTTAGTTCTTAAAAATAGCAGGCCACAAAACTATGAGAAAGCTTCTGATAGTTCTTTGTAGGAAATGAGCTCATAGGGATTCTTAAAGCTCTCCCAAAATATATTGATTGATTAAAATGATATGAGTAACAAAGTTCTGAGTTGTAGTCCCAGGATGACAAAAAAACAAAAAGAAAAGAGAAAAATTATTATTTGATTTCCACTTCAATCCCTTCATGTTATGAATTGCAATTTTCAACCAGAAGAAAGGAAGCGATTTGTTTAAGACAAAAAGAAGAGGTCTGCCTTTGATCATCAAATTACATGGGTGACAGAGGCCATTCTGTCTAAAGTTGAGGACAGAAACACTCTCATTATATGGAATAGTCTTTAAGATTCTCTCCTTCTTTGCATACATTAATGGACCTTCAATAGAAAATCTAAATAAAATTAAGCCATGCTCTCTTTGTTTCAAGTAATATTAGTTGATGACCATTTTTAACGGAGTGGTGACTATGAAATTCCTAGAGTAATATCAAGCACCTAGAAAGTCCTATCAATAAGTCCCTTCAGGTTTTGGTATTTGTCTTAAATTTACAGAAAACTTATTTCTGTATTCGTTATTATAGATAGGAACTCTATTATAAATAGAAACAGAAGGTAAGCAGAACATCAACTTCTTCTTGCCCCATGGATATTAGTGGACCAATTGACAAAAGTTGACTAACAACTGCAGATGAGAACGATGTTCGTGTCTTGATTTTGATCAATATATTCAGACTATGTAAAATGATTATGTTTTTTAGAAAATTCTCACTGTGATGTTTAAGAGTAAAGGGACATGATATCTGCGAGTGGTTCCAAAATAAGTAAAATCTATAACGAGAGATGGAGGAGAGGATATTAAAGCATATGGAATAAATACAAATTCTGGAGCAATTTGGGTGACTGAGCATAACATGCACTATTGCACTATTTTGTAACCTTTTTCTACATGTGAATTCATCCAATTTTATGATAGAAATTGTACAAAGAAATGCAGAATTCCTTTAGGTATACTAGAAAAGGAGCGACCAGTTAGTTCACTCAGAAGTTTGATCTCTTGATAAACTGTTGAAAAAGCTTCTTGGGTCTCAGTTTATTCAGCAGCAAAATGGGAGCCAAAGTGGACCTCAAAACTCCAAGTCCCCATAAAGTCTCTGTTAGTGCCTCTTATTCTAGTCTCAGACCATTATATGCTATAAGGTAGTAGCGAAGGGCAGATTCTGTAATGGAGGTTGAGAATAAACAGAGGTGGATACTCTACTAGTGGAATGATTCTTTTCATCCAGAAATAATGATTAGGACACTCAGTCTAAGGAAAACAAAACAAAACAAAACAAAACGTAGCAACTTACTACTCCACGTTATAATTTAGAAGATTTTTTTGTTTTGTAATCTGCAATTCTTTTCTCTACATGAGTGACTGCTGGATTCACGGATACAATCTTTATAAGGAGGCCATGCTTTTTAATCTCACTGACATACTTTGTGAAAGTAGGGAGAGCTGAGAACTAATATCCGAATTCATAACGTAATCCTCTACAATTCAGAAGGTGCCTTATCATGTGCTCATCTCAAGGCTTTTACAATGCAATCAAGAGAAGAATCAACAAACCCAATCTCACCAACTAAATTAAAAGGGACACATTCACATTTCCCCTTTATATCCACACCAAAGACGAGAGACCAGCAGGAATTTAAGCACCATGGCATCATATCTGTCACAGCCATATCCCTTCAGTGGTAGAGAGCTCATTTTTCAAGGCTACCAGTCCATTAACCTTCACAAGAACAAAAATAAAGCAAAGCAAAGAAACATTTCCTACAGAAATGGCATTGCTTCTATCGTACTTATATATCATACCCCGGGGATTTAAAGAGGGAACAAAGACCTCCATCTCCCCAGGACTGCAAATAATAACATAGACACCCTGAAATAAATATAGGAAATGCCCGGTGGTGCATATTATAAACGCATTTGCAATTTTTTAAAAATGGGAGCGAGACTAGGAAGAGTAACTTCGATGATCCTTGCTGAACCTCTGTCATCAGCCATGATTTGTAACTGGGAGGGCCAGAGCATCAACCTCATTTATTTTTTAACGTCTGGCCTGCTCTTGGGTGTCACTTTACCTAGATTCATTCACTGTATATATTTAGAACTATTAGTCTCCTGATAAATGCAATGCCAGAGAGCCAGAGGGGAATGATAAGATAGAAAATAAGGAGCTCTTGCTTGTTTTTATATGTTTCTGTTTGACTTAAGAGATAATTATAACACAAATTGATGCACCTATTTTAAACAAGGTAGTAAATCAGTTTGAAATACAGGACTTGAGAAAACCATTTGTCACATCATTATAATTTCTGAAAATTCCTGTGTTCACTGAATATGAGAAGCCATAATTATATAATACAGATCAAGAGCATTACAGTACTCATTATTTTTCCATAGAAGACACTTAAATAAACTTAAGTTACATATTTTTAAATATTATTAGTTACAAAGTTTAAATATCATTAACTGAAGCACACCTAAAGCATACGCTGGTGGGTCTGGGATCTAGTGTCAAGTGAAAGAAATTACAGATTCAGTAAGCAAGCTTAAAATAATGGTTCCATGTACTTCATTTAAAATTCACATATTGTCCACAAATCAAGTTTATGCATCACCATGAGAAATGTAAAAGATTTTCATCCGTATATGAGACCCGAAGAAAAGTGGAAACAAAAGAGAAATTTGGAATCAGAAGATGCATACTTGAACATGGCAGGGTGAAGACAGGGACCCTTCGAGAGGGAGGGGTCCTAGAGCAGAGCTCTATGCCAGGGTTCACCCCTCTTATGCCAGGTTGACCCTCTTGGTTGCTGAATTATGGGGAAAATGAAGGTGAATCTGAGCTACGAGCTTAGGGGGCTACTCAGTGCACTTAAGAAATTGACCAGTTGCAATACATTTCTATGCTGACGTGCAGAAGTTGACAGGATTACTTTTAACCAGTAGGGAAATAGTTGAAAATACTAACAGCTAGCAGAGTCATACTGGTGCATAGTTGCTGTCCTGGATGTCACATATTGTCTGTTTCTGCTAGTCGTACTAACCTTCCTGAGCAAGTCAAGTAAGAGAAACAAAATCTGGGGCGCTTTTTGGCTACCAATTTGTCTGCCAGAAGACTTCTTCCAGCTGATGAGAGAATGCAGTTGTCTCTGCTTTCCTTTTACCTACAGCATCTAATACACATTCTAGTATCCTCACAGCAAAGAGTGATTCCCACCAGGGACTAGAGATACTTCCATAATTTAAGCCAAATGCAGATTAGAAGCCAAGTCCACACTCAATCCTGACTTCCAGCTCAGAGGTGTGCCCACCTGGGAGAGAATTGGAGAATCTGTAGTTCTAGTGAATCCGTCCTCAGGGCAGCATCCTGTCTCTTTCTTTCCCCCCTTTTTGGCTGCAATTGGTATTTGTGTATAAATAATAATATCTCTGAATTGAATACCTAATTATGGCTTTTTGTAGAAACAGTTCAGCACAACAAATATCTATTAACTTCACTTTGTTCAAGTTATTACAAGGAAATATTGTATATAAAAGAAAATTTTATTACACATTCATCACAATTATCAGTATTGAGAAATGACTTTTATATCTCAAAAGGACCTCATTTGTATATAAAGTACAATCCATCTATATGCTTGAGAGATTCAAAATTAAAATTCCATAAGTAAAATCCCTAAGTAATCCTCACGGAGGATTTAAAGGGTGATTGAAAAAAGCAAGATCTACTGAGAAAGAAAGAGAAAAGGAGAGAGGTGGCGGATATAAGATAGAGAAAGATGCAATGTTCGCTTGTTTAGTTTTTCCATTCCATATTAAAGGTCTTTGCTTACAGCCTCCAAGTGCACGATTTCTTTTTCTTAATTGGGAAAAATTGCCAGTGGAAAACACAGTTGGTGAAATCACCTAACAATTCATATTAAGAAATATTTTAGATCAACGATTTCAGGTGTTCTCCACCAAGAACTCTTTTTACTATGCTTCTCCCTAAATTCTGCATTCTGGTTTTGAACACAAAACCATATCTATTAAATAAAATTTGTTATTTTCTTATTATTAACTAACCAAAGATTCGCAACGATCTGAATTATAGCACATATACCTTCTTAGGAGCATGAAATAGCTGAGCAATTGTATCCAAAAAGTCTGATTTTAACTAAGGCAAAGATATTTCCAGCGTTAAATCTCCACAACTTTTTCAAAGTTAAGATTCAATGTCTAAGTTCTTTAAAATAAAAATGTTCCAAGGAGACCCTCAACTGCTGTCTTGGAGGCCCAAATTTTTAAGAATTCCAAATTAGGAAAAAGAAAAAAAAGGATGTAAACTAGTTAACTATGACTCATTCTCACTTGAATTAAATTGCATTATTTAATGTACTATAACTATTGACATGTGATAGAAGATAAAATCTTGCTACTCTTTCAAATCTCTCTTTTTTTTTTTTTTTTTGCCCCTTTTTCTACGCTCCAACCAAACCATTCCCGGGATTCAAGATGGCAAGAGGAAGAAGTATCTAACATGTACTCACCAGCCTGATTCGTTGTGATGCTGACTGCAGCAAACTGTCTTGGTGAAGAACTCAGCTCTGACACCCCGTTAATGGCATCAATCTCAAAGGTGTAGTTAGTATGGGCCAGGAGGTCTGTCACTGTCACAGTGGTGTTGGTGAGTCCAGACTGCCGAGGGAGGAAGCGGACATTTGGGCGGCAGGGCTCACACTGTTTGACATTCCACCCACATTTTTTACATATGATGTTGAAGGTAACATCTTTTCGGCCTCCTGTGTCCAGGGGCCAGCTCCAGTCCAGAATAACCGAGGTCTCGTTTATATTAGAGATAACATTTCTCGGTGCAGATGGAGGTCCTGCAAAGTAGTTCAACAAAGATAAATGAGCCTCACTTCTGTTTTCTCTTACAAGGGAAATAGATAATTTACAATGGAACTGAAAGAAGTAAATAACCATCTTGTCTTTATTATATTCTCTTAATTCATCCTTAGAGGTTCCTTGAGATTATAGACACATGGGTTCATAAGCACTGTCCTCCCCAAGCTACGAATGGGGGCGTTCTGACTCAAGGGTGAGGATACATTCAAATAAAAAAAAAATTGCCACTAGGTTCAATGCCCTTGTGAATATCTATGAAAACTTTAGTATTAGTTTTATAAATCTTAGTCCTTTTTCCCTCTGACCTATGACCAGCATACAGCAAGAGGGAATAGAAATGTAAAAACATAAATCCCTTGCTTATAACCTCCCCTATCCTGTCAAATGTAATGCAAGGTCTAAAACAAGACACGGAAAATGTTCTTTTTTCCTGGGGGGTTGTGTTGCAGGAAGTGCTTTGGAATAGAATTCATTTTGTGTGATAAATGTTGCATTTGTGGTGAGCCAAGCATGGAGAGTGAAGCTGAGAAAGCTTTCAATTTGCACATGGATAACATGAGGAAATGGGCCAAATGCTTTAAAAACAAACAAACAACAACAACAAAGGAAAACAAAAACAGCACAGGACCAAGAAGAAAATAAACAAACAAAATCAAACCAAACATGGAGGCATGGGTTGCAGCAAAACTACTCACGGGTACAAGCCATGGATGGAGGGTCTTTGTCTGCTCGGAAGTAATTATTCTCACACCTGCAGTTCATTGAACCATCTTCGTGGGTAGAGCTGTGAGGTGGGCACTTAACGCACTTCGTATTACCATCCAGAGCCTTGTAGAAACCTGGTCGACAAGCTACAAACAAAACAGCCCTCTTAAAGTTCTGCAATCATTTTGAAAATACACAAAACGGAATTCAGTCAGAACATGAATTTATTACCAACAAAAACTCGTCTTTTTCCTCCCAGAATTTACAGAAGCAGATAACACGGCCTAGGGTGGTTTTTCTACGTATATGTTTGAGTTTGCACCAAATGTGAAAGAAAACACACACGATTTAGACTATTTTGGCACTAGAGTATGATGAAATTTCCAGCTTGTGTTTTCACAGCTTTACTTGGCATTGGACTATTTGTGGAGAAAATAAAGCAAAACCATGTCACCATGTAGTCATTCCCTCTTTTAAACATGATGCAATGTGTATACTATCTGCACTGCACTTCGCAATATATTACACACTGACTTGTTTTCTAATTGCTCTGTGTGTACAACTTTGCCCCACAAGTTGTAAGCAACCAAATTCATGGCTTCTTGAATATTTTAAACTTCTCAATATATGATTTTCATGAGCTATATTATATTTTTCTGGCTTGACAGTGATATTTCTTCACTTCTATGGCAATGGTCTATTAAAATAAAGCTTTAAATATATCCCCTTGTCTCTATCTGAAATACAGAGGGATATATTGTTTCTATTTAAACTGACATACTTGTAAATTGCTACTGGATGAAAGTTTTTTTATAACTCTAGGTGGCTGGGTGCAGTGACTCAAGCTTGTAATCCCAGCACTTTGGGAGGCTGAGACGAGAGGATTGCCTGAGCTTAGGGGTTCAAGACCAGCCTGGACCACTTGGTGAGACCTCATCTCTATAATAAATCAAAAAAATTAGCTGGGTTTGGTGGTGCATGCCTGTAGTTCCAGCTACTTGGAAGGCTGAGGCTGAAGGATTGCCTAAGCCTAGCAGGCTGAGGCTGCGGTGATTGTGAGTCTGTCACTGCACTCCAACCTGGGTGGCAGAGTGAGACTCCAACTCAAAATAATAATAATAATAATAGCAACAACTCTAGGCTATGTTTTTTTCTTTCTGGCCATATCTCTGCCTGACATGTTTTTTGTAAGTCTAATGAGTTGGTCATTGAACATTCACTTCAGCTTACCATTTAGTATTCAGCATTTATTTGAAGCAGATATGCTTCTACTATATTATTTTCATTTTATCTGACAGAAAATTCAAAATGCTGTACTATCTTTGATTTATAAGAGACATCGAGGGCTGAAATCATTGGGAGCATTCTAACAAGAAGTCTCTTGATATTCCTTTAAAGAAGGAAGTCTGGATTCAAATTTTAGATTTCCTCTAATCACCTTTAGAAGTCAATCATTTTTAAAACTACTAAAACTCAATTTCAATGCTACATTGACATTTGATGGCTTAAAAAACTTATATATAGCCCCCCCTCCCATAGCCAGAGAATTCTAGAATTTGCTAAAATCAACTTCATATTGTGAATAAAGGATTATCTGCATTCAAGTAATACTTGTGTGGACAGATCTTAATATTGATAATCAATACATACATTTCTGAAAAGCAACACATTATATTCCTAGTAAAATCCTTCTTCCTGAAAGTTTCTTGAAATAAAACAAGGGGAAATACACTGCCGAGAGAGAAACTGTTAGAGTAACTTAAAATGATAGCAATCATTATATCTAGTCTTTCTGTTTCCTCCTTCCTGCTAAGAATGGTGGCCCTAGGACCATTTTATAATATGTTAAACAACTTTTGATGTCATGCTGAGAGCCACTCAAACAAATTCCACTGCCCTAACCAAACAGGGACTAGAGTTATAAACTTTTCAGCATTGTTCTTAAGCACTGGTTAGAAACTTCCACTCATATCTCATGTCATATTGCCTCAGGGGAAAATTATATAAAGTACATAAACAAAACTATGCACTTAACTTCTGGTTTCAATTTAGCTCATCGTTGAGTGCCTTTAAATTTGCAAGAGGACATTGCCGAGTCTTTAAAAGAGTAAGTTGCTGTGCTCTGATGTGCTGTGTTATTTTGTTTGCTTATAAATTTATCTGTGTATGTTTGTTTGAGGCTTGTATGGTTTTTATAACATTTGGCATAAAGGCATTCACTAAACACTCAATAATGTTTTGTTAATATTATGCATGGCTATACTATGTGATACTTAAAGACAAGACAGTCACATAAACACTTCTTAGCTACAGCACAGTTTATCAGGATTACTGATAATATCTTGAAGGTGGCCATAGTTAATACACCTAAAAGTTAAGAATTTGATTCAAACTCGTCTCTAGACTTTATCCAATTATGATAAATAATAACCACAGAGATGATAACAAAAGATAGGAGGAACACATACATATAGGTTAATAAATATTTGTTTGTCAGGCATCTACTCTTGTTCAGGCTCTTTGGCAGGCATGAAAGCAAAAATGTCCCTAGTTCTGTCCACATCAAAGGGCCCTTGCATTCGGAAGTGGGCAGCAGACATTTAATGGAGACCATATGGAACAGTCACTCCATTCTGGTTGGGTAGTTAGAAGGGACTCCACAGAAGAAGGGCCATTTGAGAAAGATCATAAAAAGATAGTATGAGATGGCCAGTAAGAAGCATAATTCAGTACAAAAATAGATCAGCACGAAGAGACAAACTATTATGTAGAGAAACCGGATAAGTGCTGTTGGTTATGTATCCAAACTCTGCTTCTTGCTTGCCAATAGAGTCCTGATTTTGCTCAGAATTGAACTCAGCCAAATATTTCCTTTCTCAACTTGAGTGCAGCTAGAGTTAAATGGTCAAAGCTATGGCCAAAAGGTGGCAAAGGAAATATAAACAGAATCTAATGAAAGTCTTTGAGTTACCTCTTAGTTTTCTAAAAAGATGGTCCAAATGCAACTGAAGGCATGCCATCTACATGATTCCATCCTTGATTATGGAGGTTATAGCTGAAACAGCAGGAGCTTACATGTAGCAATGAGTTTTTAAAAAACAAGAAAGTCAGAGGGATGTGTACTTTGTACTTCATGGCCCAGTAAGCACTCATTTCATCATTTCTTCTAAGGTCAGAAAGATGACACCCTATATGTTTATGTTACTGTGGTCAAGGTTTCTTTAACTTGCAGCTACAGTAAGCATTCCTAAGTGATGTAAAAATGAAATAGAGAATTCAGTTGAGATGTACTAATTACATAGAATTACAACCTAATGGAGCTAAAAGAGCTTTAGAAATTACATTGATCAGTGTGTATGTGTTTTACATCTGAGAACACCGAAGTTCAGAAAGTTAAGTGACACACATTCAGGGACAGACACTGCACCTTCTAACACCTGTTAGCTAGCTTATATGCCTTAACTTTAAATTTATAGATATTCGTCAGATATCAACTATATGTAGAGTACAAGGCTACATTTTATAGTGACATTTTAATTTTTGTAGATGTCTTTACTTTTTCTGAAAGAATTTCATGTGTTCCATCTCAGTGGAACCTTATGAAAGTTCTATTGAAATTATCAGGGTAAGTATTGGTCTGCTTACTTTACAAATGGGACAATTGAAGCACAAATAGAAAGAATAGCATGCTCAAGATAACAACAAAAAAAATTCAAAAGTATAGTTTAAACAGGGAAGATATTTCTCTGCTTTTAATCTTATTTAAATCAATCATTGAATGCAAATTACTCTTTTAAAAACGTAATTTTTTTCCGGCCAGTTCTAAGCTGTGGATTTCACTTTGAAGAAGAGTCGTCTAAAATTTATTTAATTAAAAAAATGCAAGTCTTTTTGTCATCTATTCCTAGTAAGAACATATTTCAGAAAGGTTATGGTACTATATGCATGTCTTCCTCTAGGATTTTCTATTCATTTGATGTCCAACATTGATATGGACAGAGGGCAAGTATGTTTTTAGTTGAAAGAACAGAGAGGTTTCTTCAACTTCAAGAATAGGGTGACACACTCTATTGGGAACCACACAAGCACATTTTTGCTTTCCTATTTCAAATAGGACTCAATTCTCTTCAAAAACTGTTCAACAGATTTGAGAATATAACAGAAGAATATATATTTACTAGTAAATACAATGACCATTTTTTTGAAGGGAAACAAGCTCTATAAAAGCATAAGGGAGCCGGGCTCGGTGGCTCAGCCTGTAATCCCGCGCCTTTGGGAGGCTGAGATGAGTGGATTGCCTGAGCCCGCGGGTTCAAGACCCGCCTGGGCAGCGAGACCTCTCTACAATAAATCAAAAAATCAGCCAGGCGTGGTAGCGCACGCCTGTAATTCTGGCTACTTGGAAGGCTGAGGCGGAAGGATCACCGGAGCCCAGCAGGCGGAGGCTGCGGTGGCTGGGAGCAGCCACTGCCCTCCAGTCTGGGCGACAGAGTGAGACTCCAACTCAAAAAAAAAAAAAAAAAAAGGCATAAGGGGATTTTAAAAGATATAGCACACTCACTTTTACATTTGTCTTACCAATAAATAATCTCCCTCCCTTGCAATACATCAACTTATGATTAAGTACTACTTATCTATTATGACTTCTCCATCCTTCAAAATATCTTCATGGAAGCATTTGAAACTTTACCACTTAAAGGCATACATACTTATGTTACATTATCTTTGTTTATAGTAGCAAAGGCACTACTTTTGTTATGAAAATATCTCCTTCCCTTCTTTGAATGTAAGACTAGTGATATGGCAATCTGTATATTTCTCTCATTTAAGTATTATTTATAGGTTGAAGGAGGTTCCACATATAAAAGAAAAAAATCCAGGTAAAGAATAGAAAGTTGACATGTTAATTCATTTTCTTTTTTTTTTTTTTTTTTTTGAGTTGAAGTCTCATTCTGTTGCCCAGACTGGAGTGCAGTGGCCACTCCCGGCCACTGCAGCCTTGACCTGCTGGGCTCCGGCAATCCTTCCGCCTCAGCCTTCCAAGTAGCTGGAACTATAGGCGCACGCTACCACACCCGACTAATTGTTTTGATTTATTGGAGAGATGAGCTCTCGCCAAGTTGCCCAGGCGGGTCTCAAACCCACG